TGACCTCCAGAGGCTCCCTTCCTTCCATCTAAGCCACTTTCTGGCTATGAGTAGCAGACAGTCAGCACCGTCTTGAGGCATACAATGGGCTCAGGAGGGACAGTCTGGCGCATCAGAACTCAGCCTTCCGCCATCCCACAGAGGAGACTGGAAGCTGGGCTGTGAATGTTGTCTGTTCTTCCCTCCTGGAAAGGAAGGTGCCAGGGTAGCCTTGAAGCCCCACTCTGCTCTGAGAACGTTTTCACACACACAGTCTTAATGTCACTGCGGCGTGAGGTCACACAGCTGGTCTTCACACCACTTATGGTATGAGGTTGTGTGCAGCCTCTCACCCACCTGGCCTGGAGAGACCTGCAAAAGTGGAGCTGGCTTCACATCTGCTTCCATGTATGACTGTGACAGCAACAGTGGGGACACAGAGCCTGTCCTGCTAGACATCTTTGCGCGTGGGATCGTGTGCTGCACCAAATAATCACAATGTGAGCTCAGGGAAAATGACTCGGAAATCGCCAGGAAGCTGAAATGAACAGACAATGCCCACATTCAAGGATGTAAATCTTACGGTACGTGCCATGGCTGTTCTAAATCAGCCACACCTACTCGTGCGCCAGGAACCCTCCAAGACCTCTCATTCAGCTCAGTCCTTCCAAATTTCGCTTATCCATCCCGCCTAACTAAGCCTGAGGCCTTGCCTCCCTCCCTGAGGAACCCAGAAGAACTGCTACCTGGAGCGACTCTCTCAGGCTCATCCTGCCTTCCCGGTCACCATGTGACGGTTCCTGTCATCAGCTTGCTTTGCTTTCTTTTCTTTTGTAACAATGTTTTTTTCTTTATTCTGTGAACATTCCATAAATGTATACAGTGTATACGGATTGTAGCCATCCACCTTTACATCTCTTCAGCTCCCTTTGGTGCCCCATCCTCTCTCCCACTTAGCACCACCCATGTGCACATTAAATAGGGGAGTGGCTCTCCTTTCTCTCCTCTCCCAACAGCCTTCAACTTGCCAGGAGCTCCTTCAATATGGGTGTTCATACTGGAGTTTTGTCTGGTTTGATCTTGTGTGTGTCTTTGGCAGGTAACAATAGCCATTACAAGTGAATGTATGCATGAGCCACACCACATCCAGAAGTCAGCATCTCATGGCTCCCCTCCCCATCTTACGCTCTTCCTACCCTCTCTCCTGTGGAGCTCCGAGGCTGTCATGGTGGGAGTCTGGAGTTGATGACCCATCTACAGCTGAGCACTCAGACTCTGCACTTGGACCAGTTCTGAGCAGCCCAACTTTCTTGAGCCCAGGGTGATGCAGTGCCCGTGGTCCCAACACAGGATCTTGTGCGGCAGCTGTGTTTTCTGGAACCGCAGAGAGAAGCCCTTTCTGTTAATATATCTTCATTCTCCGGGACCCGCATCCATTAGTTTTCCTTTCTCTCTGCAAATCTTCCCATTAGAGGAAAAGAAAGGATAATTAGCAGCCCCGGACTGAACGAGCCCTTGCAATGTTCATTGACTGTTTGGTGATGTATTCATTTGCGTCTGGCTTAAAATTCTATAAGCAATATTTAGCAACCTTGGAAGGGCAATATACTTACAGCTTCAGGGTTCTCTCTCAAGAGCCGTGTCCAGCTGGGACATATACCATGGCAACATTGAGTCTGGGCTAAACAGGCATGAAGAGGCAGTGGGACACCTGTGCCACCACACACATGACACGGATATCCCAGAAGGGTGAGCCAAGATGAATATGGACATTAAAAACTCGAGGCTTGGGCTGGAGAGGTGGCTCAGAGGTTAAGAGCACTGCCTGCTCTTCCAGAGGTCCTGAGTTCAATTCCCAGCAACCACATGGTGGCTCACAACCATCTGTAATGAGACTGGTGCCCTCATATGGCCAGCAAGGAGACAGACAGAACACTGTATACACAATAAATAAATAAATCTTTAAAAAAAAAAAACAAAAAACTCGAGGCTTGGGAGATGGCTCAGGGCAGTGCTGACCTACCGTTGAGTGTGAAACGAGCTGCGTGCGCATCAGCTTTGTGGGAAGGGTTGCCCCGGCTCTCAAGGCCCAGCACAGTTGGTTCCTTTTCATCTGCCAAGACAGAATGGCTGCAAGATTGTCTCCCTCATCTTCTGGTGTCCCTGGGGCTTCTGAACTGGTGGGTTCACTCTTCATTTTTGTACACGGCTTAATCTTCCAGACAAAACTGGAAGGCGGCTAGAGCCTTGGATATTTGAAAGTTGTCAGGATTCCAGCTTTCCCTTTGTTTTCTCATTTCCCTTCTGAAAATTTTTACTAAATGGAAGGTAAATTTTGGTCTGAGTGTCGATTATTGAAATCTGTTAACTTCCTTTGCAAAAAATAGGTCAAATGTCCCTTCCATTATTGTGTGTGTATGTATGTGTGTGTGTTTGCATCCAAATGAATGATTTTCAGCTTTTAAAAATGTGCTAGCATGCATGTGGTATACATATGTATATGCGGGCAAACATACACGTAAAATTAAAACAAATACAATTTTGAAAATATTATAATAGCTGGGCATTATGACACATGTCTTTAATCCCAGCACTGAAGAGGCAGAGGCAGTAGGATCTCTGTGAGTTCAAGGATAGCATCGTCTATAGAGCAAGTTCTAGGACAACCAGGCTTCTACATAGGGAGATCCTCTGTGTGTGTGTGTGTGTGTGTGTGTGTAGATATATATATATATCTTCACATATATATATATGTGAAATATATATATTTATATATATAAAACTGTGGTTGGTATGTAAAATAAATTTTAAAAATTAGTTTAAAAAGATAAACTATTCTTTCATTGTTGGCTTGTTGGCTACACAAAAGTCATTTTTCATATTGGCCCCTCTGGGTCCCTTGGTGCTAGGTTCTTTTTATAGTTAACTAGCACCAAGTATAGGGAGCTGTGGAGATGGCTCAGTTGGTTATGTGCCTGCTGGGAAAACATGAAGACCAGAGTTCAATTCCCAGTACCCATTTAAAAGCCTGGTGTGGTGGTGCTTGCTTTTCATCCCAGCTGAGAAGGTATGATCCCTGAGGCTGGCCTGCACCTGGCCAGCCAGGTCAGTGAGCCCCAGGCTCGGTGAAAGACCATGTCTCATAGAGTGAGATGTAGAGAGACTGAGGGACTTACCTGATGTCTACCTCTGGCCTCTACATGCATGTGCACACACATGCACATGCACACACACACAAACACAGACACACATGCATGTGTACACAGAGACACAGATACATGTGCACAGGCACATACACATACGCAGCACACACACATGCATGCATACAAGTCCATACACACAGAGGCACACATATGCATGTGCATACACACATGCATGCATACAAGTCATACACATACATACACATGCACATATGCACACATGCACACACATAAATAATACTAAGTACAATGCCTTGCATGAAATGGGTTAAACACCTGTACACTGACCAATGCTCGTAGCATGCACAAATTTACTGTATTCAATTATCAATCGGTCTCCACTTAATTTGGATTCATTAAACTAATTATCTGAAATTCATTCTAATAGTAGTGCCCTCTGAATATTGGCTTCATTGGGCAAATGGGGGACACTGTCTCACGCCTCTCCCCTAGTAAGAGCCCGAGGTCCCATTGTTTCCTTTGGCATCTCCTGAGCACCTCACCTCATTCTGGGGATCACCAGCTCCCCAGAGGCACCTCTCCTGTAGACTCTGGATGGAGACTCAGGGAGGAGGAGGGGAGTGAGAAGGGGGATGTCCTCTTCTGGGTCAGCGTGTTAGAGGTTGTGTTACTTTGGAAGCTGAAAGTCTAGACTCCATGCCTATGGGCTGGCATGTCTCAAAGGTTGTGAATGGACTCAGTGCGTGTACTGTGTGGCGCTCATAGACAGCCTGGTTCAGCAGGGAGCCGGGTACTCAGGGCTCGCAAACTCTTATACCAAACGGTGTTCCGCCCAGATGTCAGCCTCCAGGCAAGCTGGGAAGCAGAAGAAGTTGAATGTTCAAGGGGAGTCTTTGGGCTGCCAGCTACAGAAGCCTAGCGGAGTCGAGAAGTTACTCTTCTGCTGGCAGAAGTAACTTCAGGGAGGAGAGAGTTTTATGTGGTTTTCTATAATTGTTCTATTAATCCTTTCAGGAATGTCTTACAATGTATTTTGATCACGCTTATTCTTTTTTCACCCAGAGCCACCTCCTAGACAAGTTTTTTTTTTCTTTTTGCTTATGATTTCAGAGAGAAAATTTCATCATGGTGGGCCGGGCATAGCAAATGGGGTGGTTGTGTCTGCAGCCATCATGGTGGGGCAGGCAGGGAAGGAGGGGGGCGTGTCCACAGTCTTCTTTGTTAGATTGAAGAAAAAGCAGGTAGTAACTTCAAGGCCCATCCTTGGGGACATATTCCTGTTTAAGCACACTCAGTAGCAGTGTGAGCACGAGGTGGCAGAGGGCGGATCCTCACACCTTGTTGGGTCAGGAAGAAGGCTTGGAGTAGAACCAGAAGCAGATGCTACCTTCAGAGCTGGCCCCTGGTGACCCACTTCAGATAGCTGGAGACCAAGCCTTCTGACACAGTGTCCTTTGGAGGACATTTCACATCTAGACCACAATGGGGAATCTAGCATGTAACATCTAATTTATTTAACAAAATATTAGTTTGACAGCCCAGATTATTTATAAACATGAGTTCATAGCAGTTTTAGAGCTGTCTGTTTTGGAAGGAAGGTGTTATCACACACACCGACAGACCCAATGACAGGGCCTGTGTCTGACTCCAGCTGCAAAGACAGTCGGGGGCCCCTGCATGCTCGCAGTTCATGGCTCTAGGCAGCCACGTGGATGAACCCGAGGGCTTTCCAAGGCAGCATGCTGTTCTTGTTAGAGCATTGACCACAGTCCTTTGCTTTTGCTTTTAAATGAGCAGTCGTGGTTTCCCTCCGTTTGGGCTGCAGCTGCACTCACTCTCTCGTTGGGTTTTGTCTTGCAGAAGCCAGTGTGAAGGCAGCCGCTGTGAAGCGCATGGACGTGCTGGAGGGCCGGCTGCGCAGGTGAGGAGCTGTTCTGTCCTGCAGACTCCAGGGGCATCTGCTTGCTTTATTTATCGGGGATGCAGTAAGGCAAGGACTGGGCTGGTCAATCTCTACAGCAAGTTAACAAAGAGAAGCAGGAAACCGCCCTCTGCATCCCCGGGGGGAGGAGCAGGTGCTGTGCCAACGCCTCCTAGCCCAGGCTCTCCCTTGACAAAGCAAATAGATTAGAGTGTTTAAATGCATCTTGGCGAGAACACAGGGCCATTTTCACATCTTCGAACGAGAAAAGCCTCTTTGGGATACTGAGTTGAGGATTCATGCTGTGGTTTGCTTTTCCTTTCTGTGTCAGCCTCTGAAGGGGGCTTAAGGACTAGGAACCAGTTTATGCCCAGAACAATGTAGGAATGTACATTGTAGGTTCTGTTTTGAATCCCGAATCAAAACCAGCATGAAAATTCCTGGTTGCTTTTTTTTTTTTTTTTTTTTTTGAAACCCAATTAGGAATTCAGATCGGAGAAGCATTAGCAACGCCATAGCATGTCAAGCTGTTTCTGGTTTTCGGGGATGTCTACTTCTGGAAATAAACCCCAGCCAGCGGGATCTGGTCCTAATTAAGGGAACAAGTTCGACAATGTAGTCTGCTTTTCCTCCCTGGCAGCCAGTTTGGTTTTATGGAAACATCTTGCTACTATTTTGGAAATTGCTAAGTGGCTCTGGAATAGATTTGCCTTAAACCTTTGTCTGCTGGGACAGTACAGAGGCTTTTCCCTTCAGGGAGCAGGGCCAGGCATTCATCCCGAGGGCATGGGATTAGCCTCGGGTTGCAAGCCAAGTCCTTCCGCCTGCCAACTGACCTTGCCACCCCGAGACCTGGAGAAAGCGGTGGCAGAGCCAGTCGACGGAAGGCAGCTGTCAGGATCAGTCAGGAGCGTACACAGGTAGCTTAGGGGCTTGGATCTGAGGCTGGCTTTCCTGCCCTGTCATGTGCTGGGAGGGGCTTTCTGACACGAGGCTCTCCATCTTATTCCTGCTACCCTCTATTTCAGGCATGTAAGCCACTTGCAGTCATTTTATTTATTTACTTACTTATTTATTTATTTATTTATTTATTTATTTATTTATTATTTATTTATTTTGGTTTTTCGAGACAGGGTTTCTCTGTGGCTTTGGAGCCTGTCCTGGAACTAGCTCTGTAGACCAGGCTGGTCTCGAACTCACAGAGATCCGCCTGCCTCTGCCTCCCGAGTGCTGGGATTAAAGGCATGCGCCACCACCGCCCGTCATTTTAGACTCTTGGTCAGCACCCTGTTGCCCTAGAACATGAGCACTGACAGACAGACAGACACTTCCCCAGCTGCACTCTGCACCTACGACCTACCCACCCTCAGGAAGGATTAGCTGTCTTTCCTGTGTGTATTCACTCCTCCTGTATAAGGGTTGGCATGCACGTGCTGGGGCACACATAACTTGCAGGGGTCAATTCTCTTCTTATACTCAGTGGGCTCCAGGTGACAAAGGAACTCAGGTCCCTGGGCTCGTTGCCCGTGCTGAGCCACCTCACCAGCCCATTGGCAGCGTCTTTTGCCACAAATGGGAGGAAGGTCTCTGTCTTTGCAGATAGGTGGATATAACTCAGCAGGAGACATCCAGGCTGGCTCCTCGCACTGCACTGAACTGTGCACAGTTGCACTCAGGGCTCATCCTTCTACGTGTGGGCACCCGACCTGCTTCCTAGTGCAGGTTCAGACTTCAAGCTGGCTTCTCTCTCCTCCACATGCTTCGTTTTGAGTCCCATCAGCCTCCGAGGTGCCCCAGAGATCTACATCCGCCTTGCCAGTGGAACCATGGTTCTCACTGGATGACATATGACCCCCTCTGCTCTGGCAGCGGCTTTCTGCCTCCAGAGTGGCCCAACCAGCCCATTCCCTGTGTGATCTGGTCCATGCTCATCCAGGACTCAGCACAGAAGCGACTTTCTGTGGCATCCTCCTGCCACCTCCTGCCACCTCCTGCCGTCTTTTTAATATCCAGAGCCACAGCCACTGTTCGCTCTGAGAATTCTGTCCAACTTGGCAGGCCAACCTCCTGAGAAGCACCCTCAGTCTCATTAAAGGCCAGCACGCTGTTTGCCATGTGCTAAACCAACAGTTACGTAGTTTAAGAATCAATGGATCAAGCCAGGCAATGGTGGCGCACGCCTTTAATCCCAGCACTCAGGAGGCAGAGGCAGGCAGATCTCTGTGAGTTCGAGGCCAGCCTGGTCTACAAGAACTAGTTCCAGGATAGGTTCCAAAGCTACAGAGAAACCTGTCTTGAGGGGGAAAAAAGCAGTGGATCAGTAGCAGTTACCTCTTGAAACTCATTTATTTTTATTTTCTGTGTACGGGTGTTTTGCTCACATGCATGTCTGTGCAGCACACAAGTACGATGTCCACAGAGGCCAGAAAACTTCTCTGTATTCCCTGGGACTAGAGTTACAGATGGTTGTGAGCTGCCTTGTGGGTGCTGGGAACTAAACCTGGCTTCTCTGGGAGAACATCTAGTGTTCTAACCACTGAGCCATCTCCCCAGCCCCTGAAGCTTTATTCTTGGCTGCTAAGGTTAAAACTCAAAGCATCCCATGTCCAAACCCATTTGCCTCAGCATCCAGTCTGATTCACAGCAGAATGTTAAAAAGCAAAACAAAGCCACTCCAAGGAGCCTCACCCACTCCCCGTTCCCCTTCAGGCTGTTTCAGAGGTGACAGCTCGGTGGGATGTGTTAGTTTAGCTCTTTTCCCCTTGGGGCTGAGCTCTGCTTTAATTCCCATCTTCTCAATTATCACATATTCTCTGTGAGCTTTTCCGCAGAGTCAATGGTAATATTTAAAGAATCCTTGCTTTCGCCTGTGGTTTTCTGAGGCGGTCTCTTTCTGTAGCCTAGGCTTGCCTTCAACTCAAGGTCCTCTCACTTCAGCCTCCCAAGGGCTGAGATCAAAAGTGCTCACCACAACTCTTCTTGGCTCAGAGGTTTTTCCTTTGGGGCTAGAGAGATAGCTCAGTTGGTGAAGTGCTTGCTTTGACACCGTGAGGACTTGTGCTTGGTCCCTAGACTCCAGGTTGACTAAAGGGACTAGCTATGGCCATATGTACTTGTAATTTCAGCGCTCGGGAGATGGAGACAGGTGAGTGAGTCCCTGGGAGTCACTGGCCAGCCATATTGGAGTAATTGGCCAGTGAGAGGTGCCCCCACTTCTATCTATCTATCTATCTATCTATCTATCTATCTATCTATCTATCTATCTATCTATCTATCTATCTATGTATCTGTCTTCTATCTATCTATCTATCTATCTATCTATCTATCTATCTATCTAATCTCCCCCCTTCTTCCCCCACTCTCAAAACAAGATGGGTAATACCCAAGGGATCGACGCAGAAGTTTCTCTCTTTCTTACCCTTTCTCCCCTCTCCTCTTTCCCTCTCCTCCCTTTCCCCTCTGCCCCCTCCTTTCCTCTGTAGATGAAGTACATTTGTCATAACAATCTCACCTCTTATGTTGTAACCACTGCGGAGGGGAAATCCTTATTGTCCAATGAAAGACTGGTCCCTCTGGTTGTCAGGGTCAGTTCTCACCTGTCCCTACCCCAGGGTGCACACGCTGGCTTTCTCTATGCGTCTGCGTGGAGTCCATTGTGTGATGGTTGGGGAACACTCTACCTTTCCAGCGGTCTCCACTCTCTCTGCTTTGTTTGCCTGGAGCTGGATCTGAAAGCCTTTGCTACAAACCATCAGGGCACTTCAGAGGCTGCTGGTTTATTTTTCTGCCCTTGCATGCTACTTCATCTCTCAAGTGTTTACTTGAGGGCGACTCAGACTTTCAGAGTCAAAGCAGCAAAGACCCTGGCGTCTTCTCTGGATGTGAGGTGCTCAGAAGCCCCTGTGTGTGCCTCTGGCTTGTGGTAGGAGCACTCAAGAACCCAGGTGTCTTATCTGAAATTTATTTTGAAATAAAGAGCTCTATGACTTTTCTCTAGAGCAGAGGTGATTCTTTCTTAAAAACCTAATGTTTACCTACTAATTTATCTGGAAACTTCTACATGAATGCCCTCACAGGCAGTGGTAACCGGGAAGGTTACTCAGCTAACAAATCCCAGGAGGGTTCAGTAGCGGTGATCAGGGCTTGAGAAAGCCATGGACTATCTACCAGGGCTCCTGGACATGTTTCTCAGTCACTCACACCAGCAGTCTGCCTTCAAGCAGAGAGCCCCCAGTGCTGGCAGCCAGCCGAATGGGAGCTGTGGGCCTGTAGCCAACAGTGTCCTGAGCCTCACATGGTACTCAGAGAAAGGCCTAGTTGTACCCCACAAGACTCCCAGAATCTGTCACTCACTGACATAAGCCAGTTGCCTGCTCTCTGGCGGTAACTGCAGCAGTTGTTTCCAGAGGAGCAGGGAGAAGGTTCTGGGAGGTTCTGGAAGGTTCTAGAATTTCTGTCTCATGCTTCCATTTTACTAGTTGATATTTTATATCTATTAGTATCACATATATCCAGCAGTACATGCACACCACATATGAAGCAAATCCTGGAGGGCGTGCTCAAATGACTTGACTCAATGGACTTATGCTGAAAAGAGAGGCCTGTGGAAGAGAATGGTGCTACTTTCTAGGCAAGGGAACTCCCCATTTCTGGTCTGTTTGTCTTCTCATCAAGGAAGGAAGAACAGGAGTTGGTCTTGGAAACGAAAAGAGGGCAGAGGGATTTTGAACTCCGGGTGGTCATTTCCTGGTGCCTCCTGGTGAGAATGCAGGGACCAGTTCATATCCATCCCAGCACACAGCTGCCAGCGGTTTACAGCCCTTCTGGCAGATCCCACTACCTGCCACCTAACAGGAGTTTGGCATAGTGGTGTGAAGTCCTTTGAGGTCCCTCAGATGGGTTCTGTATTCTGAGCCATGCAAGTTCCTCAGCACCTGGAAGCATCCCTTTGAACCCACATCTTTCTTCCTAGTACTATGGTGGAAATGAACGTACACAAC